CAACGTAGCTGCTAATTTTATCAAAACAACTCTGTCATTATCATGTCATGGTGATCTTTTTCATATTAGATATATCTGACATATTTTAAATTTAATTGTTCAAAGTGCATTTACTGAAATTAAACTCATGATAAAAAAAGGTTGGAACAATTGCTAATATGCATAATGCTTCTGAACAAAGAATTAAAAGATGAAAACAATTTTGTAAAAGAAAAAGTTATAAGCTCAGACTAATTCCAAAAGATGTTGATCATGGGTGGAATTCCACATATGCAATGTTAAGTGTGATTCCAAAAGATGTTGATCATGGGTGGAATTCCACATATGCAATGTTAAGTGTGGCAATAGAATATAAAGAAATTATAAATAATTTTATAAAGCAATAGAATATAAAGAAATTATAAATAATTTTATAAATTATTATGCTTCTAGTTCTAGCTCTGGTAACACTTATGGAATAACTGAAAATGAATGAACAATTATATATAATTTAAATGAGATGTTACAAGTTTTTTATGATACTATAATGTTATTATATGGCTATTATTATCCAACTATTACTTTAGCTGCTTTACAAATTTTAAATATTAAAAAAACTTTTGGAAGTATAATTTTTTAAATGGAGAGCAAATTTAATAAGTATTTTAGACATATTTCTCATATTATTGGTTTGGGGGTTCTTATTGATCTATGTTTGAAGGATATTGGTCTTTGAAGTTTGTTACAATCACTGTATGATGGACAGATTATAGACTTAGATGATGGATCCACCATTACTGCTACTTCTCATCATTTAGCTATTAGAACTTATTTTCAAATCTTATATGATAATTATGCAGCTAGACATGGTGTAGTTGCACAACAATCTACAGCTTCGACGCCTTCAAGCTCAGGCCGAGGTAAAAGTATAAGTTTTGATAGGTATGCAATGATAGCTGAGCTAACTGGTGGATCTGGACTTGGATCATTATTAGAGGTTTCTGAAATAGATGAATATTTATCTGTTTCGTTAGTTAAATGTTAAGGAAATATTTTAGATATTTTACAATGGTGAAGAGTATATGGATCAGTTTCATATCCTATAATTTTCACCATGGTTTGTGACTTACTAACAGTACATGTTTCGACGGTAGCTTCGAAATCCGCCTTCAGCAAAGCAGGACGTTTGATCGACGATCATAGGATATGCTTAGATCTGTATACTGTACAAACGGTGATGTGTTTACAAGATTGGTGGAGGTACGAGAAGCGAACGCAAGGCATCGATCGGATGGCTGGAATTGAAGATAAATTTGAAGAGTTGGAACTAGCAGATAGATATAAAAATTAAACAATATTCATCAAATTATAATTTTTATTTCTTATCTTTAAATTTATAATGAATTATTTTAAAAACAGTTACAAATGATAGTGATATAGGTGAGTAGATGCCAACCTAATTGAGATGTACTCATCTATTATGATGCGACGAATTCCTAAATAAATTTATACTTATAAAGGATTTACTGATTAATAAATAATTTATTTTTATCATCTTTTATTTTTATAATTTTTTGTGTTTATAATTTATGTCATTTCAAGTTATTAATAATATTATTATTTTTTATTAGTATTTTCTGTAATTTTTTTATAAATTTTTTTAAAATTTAAAAAGTTTTTTAAAAAAAGTTTAAAAAAATGAGCCAGCCCAGAGCCCGGCCCACTTAGGCCCAGGCACGGTTGCCCGACGCAACCGGGCCCAGGCTCTGACTTTTCCCGACCCGAGCACGATTTTCCAGCCCGACCCGAATGGACGGGTAATCGGGCCCGGTTTTCCAGACCGGCCCGGGTGGACAAGCCTAGGGCATCACTACTTTAATATGAAAAAGTCTCATTTGTTACACACTCTAAATAGTGTATTCAATGAGATACACACGCCCTTACCTTATTGAGTGTTAAAAGGACAAAAACACATTAATTTAAACAAGAAATAACAATAAATTAAACAAGACAAAATAATGTTACATCATAAATACTAACGCAAGTCAATACCTAGTAACACCACACAAAATGGACTTCACATACAAAACGACTCGGTTTAATTTTTGACTTGTTGGGGTCCTCTTTGAAAAAGTACACCCTCCAAAAAGTGTCGTATGCCGCTTAATGTGGAGAGCACACGGTATTCTTTAGTAAAAGGCGAAAGAATAGTTCGCTATGTGCTCACCACGCAGCTGCGTGCCTTGATCAGAAGCCCAGACCCATTTATTTATAGTCGAACACTTCGTCAAGTCTCGGCGAATTTGTCGATGTGGGACTAAACTGAAAGCAACAATGATCGAGCGAAAACCGGAATACTTTCTCCTGCCCCCATTCTTCACGTGCTCTGTCTTCATTTCGTTTGTCCGCCTAGTCCGAAATTATCACCTTCTCATTTATGAAAATGTTTTGTAATTACTAAGACCATCTCCAACCGTGCTCCATTTTGACGCAAAACCCCATTTTGCCGCTACGAACCGTCTCCAACCAAGCGCCATTTTGGGCGCCATTTTAGCGGGGATGAACAGCGCGACGCCATATTTGGCGTCGCACTGTTCATCACCGCATTACTGTTCATTTTATTTTATTTTTGACCTCATACTTTTATGTATTTACAATTTGACCCCAATTGTTTTATTAAATGTATAAACAACCTCAATAATATTTAAATTTTATAATTTTACCCCAATTGTATAATTTAGACAAAATAAATTATTTTTTAAAAATAAAAATAATGCTAAAATTTAAAGACATTATTATTAATTATAATATTAAAATTTAGACATTATAAGTAAAGTCCCATGAAATATAAAGAATTCTAATACATAATTCAAATATAAATTACATATCTGAAATACATAACATATAAAAACTAACACACATAATATAAAACTTCATTAAAATAAAACATAAAATACAAACTAAACATGGAACATTTCCTGAGATGGACAAGCAACTATCAATAATCTGGTAGATCGGCGCCAGAGTGTCCAATATCATTGAAATAATTACCAAAATTAGAAGCAGACCCTTGTTCTTGTTGATTTCTTTTTTGTATTATTTTAATCTGTTGAGCTCGAACGTACTCCCGTACGTTTGGATCAGCAAAGGAATTCAAATCTTTCATTATAATTTTCCATTCATCTCTATCTTTTTTTGTAGCTATCTTTTCTCGTTCGATATCAAATGCTACCTGGCTGTCCAAGCTCGCCTTGTCTAACCTGTCTATAAGTCGGTTGTTGGAGGTCTCGATGGATTCACTACGTTTGACTCATGATCATCATTTTTTTCTTTTCAATTTGGCTTTTTTACCCTAATAGGTCGTTCAGTTGGAGTAAACGATGACAGCCCAGGAGATGTTGATATAGAAGATTCCGGAGTGGGATTATTTGATTGTGACGAGTCGAAGTTCACACTTTGGGGTTGTCTTCGACCAACTTGTCTTGCTGTGAGGACATCATCTTTAAATTTTTCGAAATTTTTAACCATATTCCAGACATGATCAAATTTGAAACCTTTTTTTGTACTTTGGTTCTTGCATAAATAACATTTTTGCTCGAACTAACTGCAAATTGTAATGAACATCAAGTTATGTTTTTCAACAATAATAATAAATTTCAAATGATAATTAATACAATACTTACAATATCTTCATCTGAAGCACCACTTGGATTTAGATTCTCTACTTGTCTCAAGCACGCATTCAATTTTCTTACTTCATTACTTATGATTTCCATTCGATAACGAATTGATCGGCTCGTACGCACATCAGAATTTTGGTCTTGAAGTTCATTGTATCTGTCCTCCACACGAGACCAAAATGCATCTCGAGACTGGTTTCTACCGATAATAGGGTCTTGAGAAATATCCAAGAATACTTGACAAAGGAGCACATCTTCAGTAATAGTGTATCCAGATGTTCGAACGGACATTTTTTTTGTAAAAAGCGGTTGGTTTGGAGATTAGAAATACTTTGAAGAAATACTTCGAATTGGGTGGCTTGAAGTAGAAACCGTGAATGTTATTTATAGCCAATCCAAATTTGTTTTTTTTTTGTTTGAATTTGAATTTGTCGGTGGTCAACATTTGAAATTGAATCGTTGTGGACAAACTGATCAGCTTTACACATTGTCCAACGTTATCAGTGGGAATCATTTTTTAAAAACTGATCAGCTTTACACATTGTCCAACGTATACACAGCTCAACTTTCCTTGAATTGTGTAAAAGCTTTGTACGAGTGGGAATCATTTTTTGAAAACTGATCAGCTTTACACATTGTCCAACGTATACACAGCTCAGCTTTCCTTAAATTGTGTAAAAGCTTGTACAAGTGGGAATCATTTTTTGAAAACTGATCAACTTTACACATTGTCCAACGTATACACAGCTCAGCTTTCCTTGAAATGTGTGAAAGCTTTGTACGAGTGGGAAACATTTTTTGAAAACTGATCAGCTTTACACATTGTCCAACGTATACACAGCTCAACTTTCTTTGAATTGTGTGAAAGCTTTGTACGAGTGGGAATCAGAATTTTGAAAACTGATCAGCTTTACACATTGTCCAACGTATACACAGCTCAGCTTTCTTTGAATTGTGTGAAAGCTTTGTACGAGTGGGAATCATTTTTTGAAAACTGATCAGCTTTACACATTGTCCAACGTATACACAGCTCAGCTTTCTTTAAATTGTGTGAAAGCTTTGTACGAGTGAGAATCATTTTTTTGAAAACTGGTCAACTTTACACATTGTCCAACGTATACACAGCTCAGCTTTCTTTGAATTATGTGAAAGCTTTGTACGAGTGGGAATCATTTTTTTGAAAACTGGTTAGCTTTACACATTGTCCAACGTATACACATCTCAGCAAAGTTTTATAAATAGCATACTAGATTAGGTACATCCACACAATTATTCGTTGTTGTGTTAAAATTATTATTCTCCATTTCTACATACCTCAATCATTCTTTTCTTACTCCAAAAATGAATTTTGATGTTGGAGGTCCATCATATTTATCATCATCTTCATCTTCGGATGATGATAATTTTCTGACCAATATCATTGCAGAGATTGATGAAACCGAAGAAGTAATTTGTGAGTACATCAACAACAACTTGATCATCGCTAACAATTTACGTCAACAAAACTACCAACTGATCCATGGTGGCTCGATTCCTGGTCATGCCGTGATCAACCGCGATCGAGAAACTGCGCATCAGAATTTGGTCATAGATTACTTTGTCGATAATCCACGTTTTGGACAAGATATGTTTCGTTGTCGATATCGGATGTCAAGAAGTTTGTTCATTCGTATTGTTGATGCAGTGAAAGATCATGACCATTACTTCCAACAACGAAGTGATGGACTTGGTAGAATGGGATTATCACCGTTACAAAAAGTAACAGCTGTTTTTCGCATGTTGGCATACGGTCTACCAGCTGATGCTACGGACGAATACGTTAAAATAGGTGAGTCAACAGCAATTGAAAGTATGAAAAGATTTTGTCGTGCTATGGTGGAGATATTCGCAGAGCGGTATCTACGAACACCTAACGCTAACGATATTGCTAGGCTACTCTATATTGGAAAAAAACGTGGTTTTCCAGGAATGTTAGGAAGTCTTGATTGTATGCATTGGAAATAGAAAAATTGTCCAACAGCATGGTCTGGGCAATACACAGGACGTAGTGGGTCACCAACTATTATCCTTGAAGCTGTGGCAGATTATGATCTTTGGATATGGCACGCATATTTTGGTATGCCAGGCACCAATAATGATATCAATGTGCTGGAGTCATCTAATCTTTTCTCTAACCTAGCTCAAGGTATTGCTCCTCCCGCTCACTATGTTATTCAAGGAAAAGAGTATAATATGGGTTATTATTTAGCTGATGGTATATATCCGAAATGGGCTACTATTGTACAAACAATCCAACAGCCACAAGGTAGGGAAAAAAATATTTTGTCATGAAACAGGAAGCATGTAGAAAATATGTAGAACGTGCGTTCGGAGTTCTCCAATCACGATTTGCAATTGTGGCAGGATCAGCACGTTTTTTGAAAAAACATGTATTACATAACATAATGACTGCATGTATTATTATGCATAATATGATAATCGAGGATGAACATGACCTTTATGCACCAATTCAAGAAGTGAGGGAAGCACCAACACCAGAAGTTGATATGGTAGCAGATGAAACTATAAAATTTACTCAATTTATTACACGTTACGGAAAAATCAAGGATAAAGATGCCCATATTGCGCTTCGTAATGCATTGATAGATCATATATGGGAGGAATACACTAATTCAGATAGTTAAGTGCATACTAAATTTGTAATTTTTATATTGTTGTTAATGTTTAATTATTTCCTTGTATTTTATTTTCTGTTGTGTTCTTGAATGTAATATTTTGGCAATATCAATAATAAAAATATAATATTTTAGCAATCAAGTTATTTTAATTAGGGGTGGGCAAAAACCGAAAAAAACCAGTTCAACCGAAAAAACCGCCCGAAAAAGCGGGCCGGTTAACCGAACCGGATTAAATGGATGAGAAGAAGACTCTAACCCCCTGAACCGAATTAAACCGGTTTGGATCCGGTTTGAACCCATGAACCGCCCGGAAAAAAACCGAACCAAATTTTCTAATTCGTTCTTTGTCGGATATTCATATTGCTCAAAATGGGAAGGACTTCGTCGTTCGGAATTCGGTCAAAATGGAAAGGACTTTTGGTTCGGACGAAGTCGGATGGAATAGCATTCTTATTAGTGAGTCATCACTTGAACATTAAGCTATATAATTGCTCGGTAATTTGATTGTTATGTTTACATACATGTTTATATTGTATAGTTCCTTTTTCATTGGGCTTGCTAGCGTATATGCCCGCATTAAAATCGGTGAAACCTCATATAAGCTTTCAAATTCTACTAGAGGCATGTTAAGTTGTTTTCCAAGAAATGAAAGATAACCTTTTGATTATAGTTAATTAATATTTGAATGTTACGTAACAATATGTACTTGTTGATATGGTTTGCGCTCATTTCACTGATTTCGGTTTTTTGTTAGCTGTGACAATGGTGTTACTTCAAACAAGCTCTACATTTCATTGTTTGGGGGAAAAAAAGTTAAGTAGACAAAATGGACAAATAATGATACTTCATCAGAAATTAATAGGCAATGATCTCATGTGTGGGCAGATTTTTGTGAAATAGTATTAATTCGGTCCAAAACCGAAACCGATCCGAACCGATCCGAATTTTGGTTGGGCCGAATATTCAGATGAAGGGAAAAAATCTGGATCTGGATGAGAGTTTTGAGAATTCGAAAAATTCGGATTGGATGCGGATTGAGCTTAAAACCGATCCGAACCGAATATGCCCAGGCCTAATTTTAATTAATAAAATAATATTTTACTGTTTTATTAGTTTAATTTTTTAAATAATAAATCATTTTGTTTGGAAAATATGTGAAAAAATAAAATTTGATATGTGGGGTTAATTGTTGAAATAGTTAAAAATATAGGGAATAAAAAATAATAATATAAAAGTAGATAAAAAAGAAAGATACTGAGAATATTCCTTTTTGGTGCAAAAAATGGTGTAGTGGGTTGGAGATGAATTACTGTTAGATGTGACTTTTGCACCATTTTGGTGCGATGGGTTGGAGATGCCCTAATAGGGTGAGAACAGTAATCACTCTAATCCTTTTAATTCCATCCAAAGTTTAATTCTAGTTCACGGCTGACATTAACTAATTTGGAAATAGATTCTTATATCTCATTAGGAGTTAAGTTAATTCCATAAAGAATTTACAAAGTAAACTTTATAATTCCGTTTCTTACGCTAGAGTACTTGGGCAGTTGACCAACACATAGTATGCTACAATTCTATTAAGAAATGTTACGAAACATGGACGAAGGTATCAAAGTGAAATGGAACTGGAGCTCGGGACATCAAAGTGTATATATATTTTTTTTGGATATCAAAGTTAGGGGCTAAAAAACTTTTCATGTGGGATGTTTATCTGTTCGGCTAGAGTTAAATTTCAAGAGCAAGTCATACTTTCTCAATAAGATTTTCTTTTTTGGGATTAAGTTGTGACGCCCCTGGGTTCACACAAGGCTGCAGTTCAAGGTGAAACCAAGAATGTCAAACCTGCCTTGCACCACACCGTGCAATAACATGTCTCACCATCACAATTAACATCTGTCTAGTGGAATCAATAACAGGTGTAGGTACAAAAGCAAGTACAAGATATTGCAAGACACAACTGATGGAATAATAGTGATCACATAGTATTTCATCATTCAACATATAGGAATATAAAGTCAATGTCTGAAATGAACAAACTGGAATTCTTAATACATCCCAAATACAACAAGTCTGAGTAAAGGAAATAAGGCACACAGCCTTTACAACATCTAGGAATAAAGTCCTCAACCGTCTAAACAAAGTCTATAGTGGAGCTCCATAATAAAACATAGCTAGAATAGACAGTCGAATACTAAAGTATGTCGTCATCAACCTGCGACTCTCCGGGCTCCTGGGTCGTGACCTGAAAGGGGGAGGGACAACGAGCGTCAAAGCGCTAGCGAGCAACATCACAACCAACCCCAAGGGAGAGGGCTCATTGTATAAGAAAATACAGTTATCACAAAGTATATATATATATATATATAAACAATTACCCTAACAATCAACAATGGGTCTTAGTACTTATGAAGTTTCAACACGGGCATAGATACGTCGAGCGAAATAATCCAAACAAGGAAACCCTCATGTATATACCTTGTATCCCAAATTGAAAATCCCTAAGTACCAAACCCGGAGTCTAATGTGTAAACAGAAATAAGCAAAAAGGAAAATACAACCCATCTCAGAACGTATATACTGTATTACGTCACATCCTACATAAATGCCATGTCGCATTCGACATAAGTGTCATATCATACTCTCAATATGTGGAAATGTCGCATGCAGGGTTAAGAGAGATGTCCAATGCATGAATTAGATATAGAGATTTCCCAACTCATGAGATAAATGGATAATGGTCCAACACGAGGACTGAAATGGATTAGAGTCCAACACGAGGACTTCTATGGATTATAGTCCAACATGAGGACTGTGCAAATGAGCAAGTATTAGTGATATACAAGGCATGGTTTACTTATGCAAAACTCACACTCAACTCGTCATGTGATTCTAGGCATGTATTTCAGGCCACCTATCATGCATAGATGCTTAGTACAACTAAAAATCAAAGTCAGATGATTGAAGTAAGCACTCGAACGAGTGTACGATACAGCAGAAACAAATAAAACAGAAAACTGTGCGGCGGTCGACCGCAGAGTCCACTCCGGTCGACCGCTCGCAGACCCGAGAACCACTGGGCTCAGAAGCTGAGCGGCGGTCGACCGCAGAGGTCATGCCGGTCGACCGCCCAAAGTGCAGAAACAATTCTGCTGGCAGAAAAACGCGACGGTCGACCGCTGAGTCCTCTGCGGTCGACCGCTGGGCGGACAGAACCCCATTCTGGGTTCTGTCAGCTACCGAACTCATTTAAAAACTTGGGGATTTCTATACCCATTATACTATAACCTTTTAATAGAGAACTATGGCAATAAACAACAAGTTTAAATGGTTAAAACCTCATTATCAAAAATCCCAAACCTTAAACAACATGATTTTAAAAGTTCTTAAATAGTAAAAATGAGTTTAACTCTCATAAAAGTGTTTCAGATCAAAAACTCATTTAATTAAACATCATTAGTGAACTTTTTAAGACTGAAATATATGATTCTTGCATCCCATGCCATAAGATCTACTTATCTACACAAAAATACGATTTTGGGCTCAATAAAAACCGAATAAAACTCAAATCCAAGCATAAAAAGGAAAAGGGATGAAGTTGGGCGGGATGTTACTCGCCTACGACGAAAACGAAGCCCTAGATCTGGAGGAAGATGATCCCTCTCGCTGAATCCACCAACAATTCGCTGAAAAGCCCTCCAAAGCTCCTCCAAATCACCAAGGAGTGAGAAACTAGGGTTTGAGGGGAGAGAGGGGGCTAGGGTTCTGATATCAGATGGAAAATGGGGCTCTCTTGGGTATAATAGTATATATACTATCCCCACAACCCGACCCGAACCCGACCCGAAACCCGTTAAGACCCAACACAGAAAAACTCTCTGCCCGCTGTGCGGTCGACCGCCGCGCCCAGCGCGGTCGACCGCACAACAGGAGAAAAGTCCCCTGAGTGCCCGACTGTTGTGCGGTCGACCGCCGCGCATGTCGCGGTCGACCGCACAGCAGGACAACTGCCTGCTATGTCTGTTTGACATCCTGGTGAATCCACTTGTTTTCTCCAACATAGAATTTCTTGTTAGGCTCCCAAACATGATTCATCACATTCAATATATATATATATGTATATATGATAAATTTTCACAAAAGAATTATTCATCACTAATAATTCAATATCTATATATCCTTATAAAATTTTACGGGGTTCTACATTCTTCCCCCCTTAAAAGAATTTCGTCCTCGAAATTCGAAAATCATACTCATCTCGAAATATGAGATTCTAGATGAGCGTTTATGGATATTTATACTTAACCGTCCAAAATGATAATATTCTCGCTCAAGCCTTAATTTAGTGGAACTAGTACATCGGGTGAAAAATCCAAACAAGGAACCCCCCATACATATACCATGTGTTCCAAAAGATTAAGAATTGGGCGAAGATATTCTTATTCTAGTGTTAAGTAGATCTAACCAAATATATATCAACATAATATAAGTCACTTGTCATAAAAATTTATTTACCTGATCAAACAAATGTGGATAGTCGCGTCGCATGTCCGCCTCGCGCTCCCAAGAAGCTTCCTCAACTCCACTTCGGTTCCATTGAACTTTCACCAATGGAATTACATTGTTCCTGAGTCTCTTGTTTTCTCTAGCAAGAATAGACACTGGAATCTCAATAGTAGACAAATCATCCCGAAGCTCAATCTCCGGTATATCCAACACTCGCTGCTGCTCCTCATCATGCAAGTGCTTCTTGAGCATAGAAATGTGGAACACATTGTGCACACTAGACATAGATGCTGGAAGATCTAGTCTGTATGACACCGCTCCAATACGCTCTAAAATCTGGAAAGGTCCAATATATCTCGGTGCAAGCTTCCCTCGCCTCCCGAACCGCTGCACGCCTTTCATAGGCGATACCTTCAGCATAACCAAATCCCCAATCTGAAACTCTAGGGGTCTTCGCCTCTTATCTGCATAACTCTTCTACCGGCTCTGAGCGGCTAGAATTC